AGGAAGGGACTCAAATATTTAATATCTCTTTCAGCATGCACCAGCAGGTCCCCCGAGTCTGATGATTTGCTATGTATTAAACATCAATAACATAGAAATATATCTCTAGCACACCTAGCCCAGTGTAGTCAAGGTGTATTTCATTGTGGCATGCTGCACGCATTTCCCTCTTTCCCAATTTCTGATACTAGGAATTTTTGCAGCATTAAGTTTAAAAAAGACAACTATTTAGTCACTCACTTTTATACCGTTAAAATATTAATGGTTTAAGTCTTTAATAGGCACGTCTATTAAACTGTCATTAACAAATGTGCTCAGTCATTACATTTAGTATGTTTTCTCAGTAAAGAAAGTCATGGGAGGTTGGCAAACCTGCCGGTGACCACTGTCGTTTTGTCGTAGAAGGGATTTCCCTGGTGTTTTCTTTTCACTTTCTGCAGTGTGTATACAATAGAAAGTGAACAGAAATATTACAAAATAACCATCCCTGCTCTATCCAAAATAAAATAAATGTTAAAGATATACTTTTATATTTCAAGCTGTGATAAATGGGAGCTGGAAGAATACAATTGATATTGCTTCTTATTATTATAATAGTTACTAATACAATTAAAATGACCTCACTTACCTCTTGTACGAATTTTTTAATTAGAATATTTGATTTCATGTAGTATCCGTAGACTCTGAGGTGATCAGACTCCTGTGCATCAGTAAGCACAACGTCAATCTGATTTCCAAGAGCATGAAGTAGTAACATATTCAAAAAAAGAGTTTGATGTTTGTCCAATCCTTCATCAGAAACCATGAAGAAGTATGGAGCCTGGTTTTTTAGAAATGTTTTCCACTCTTCACACAGAAAGCTTGAAAATGTGTATACGTCAATATTGGTATTTTTCTGAAGGTGCAGTATAAGCTGTGTGCGCCAGCATCTCAAAAGGGGATACGGAAAAAAGAAGTGCTTAAAGTCCTGCAGATACAATACAGCAGTGTGAGTCCGAGAGTAGAATAAAATACAGCCGTCATTAAAATGTGTAGATATGGTAGCACTATTGTGCATATTGTTTACTAACAGACATGGTAGCATTATTGTGAATATTGTTTATCACCAATTATGGTAGCACGGTAGCACTAAGACTTTAATTTTTCACACATACGCCCTTTATAGAAAAGCAGCATTTACCAAGTCCTCTTGAGTCAGCTACCCATGTATTTACTACTTAGTACCCTCTGATAACAGTTAACAGCATGTGGTACATGTTTTAGTAGTTGTGAAATTGTCCTGATATACTGTACGTGAGATATAGATAAAGATAGATATATAGATAGAGATATATATACCCCCGGTATATAAATAAATAACATTTGCATAACTACAAATCCATCCACACACTATCACCAGTTAGTCATTTTGTAAACTTTAAATAGACTTTATAGACAGAATGAAAAAAATCACATTCACATAGATTAGAAATAACATTTCAGGCAATCAAATAAGTAAAATGGTAAATAGGACTTAAGTGTATAGTATGTTACCCCTATAGTTTCGGTGCATTTAGGGATTTCCCCTGATACTTCCCACATAATCTGCAAACACTGTCATGAATGTTTGATTTTCTGATAAAAAAAACACGTTGGTGTCTAAGTAATGGGAGATGTGTGTATAATGATATGATTTAAAGGTTATTAAAAGAATATTTTTCACTCAGACATCTTCATCATCTGTAAAGTCACATAAATTCTAAAGTCTGCTGCTCTGCTTAACTTTACAGCAAACTGAAAATAGGCGATAAAAAAAATTAGGCTGCATAGCTAAAATGTTTTTTCCCATTGTGGGTGAGGTTTAGAGGAATTCAGAAATTGCTGCTGAGTGTCTTACAAATTGCACCCTTTCTGACCTGTACATTGTTTGTGTGTCAAGGTACAACATATATCTATATTTCTCTATATTTAACCCAATGACAAACATGCAAGCCTCCATTCACATTTGCGTTTCCCAAAAAGTTTTCCATGCGTAAGAACGCATGGCATGCAAACGCTAAAGTGCACAGATTCCGCTTGTTTGCGGCTATTACTATAGCCGTGGACCTGCGGAATTTACCATAAAAATCACACTTGTACTATTTTGCGGGACTAAACTGCGCGGCTCCCACAAAAGTCGGAACAATGCCCATTAAAGTGCATTGTTTTTTATGTTTAGAGCGGTTCCGCGCATATTCGTACTGCCGAATACACGTGGACAACCACTCGTGTGACTGGAGCCTAAGAGGAATATGAAAAAAGTAAAATGCTTACCAAAACCTAAAGCGTATTTCCACTTTTGCAGCCAAATTGGGATAACACCACATTTTATGTTTGTTACATGTTCTCCATCACATAGCATAACTTTTTTTTTAAATTACATAAAAGTTGCAGCTTACTTTTTTTTAGATGTTCTTTACGCTAAATCCAGGACTGAAAAATCCTGCTTAGTTCTCACTGTTTAAATGGGGTTAGGGCAAGTTTTGTTTTAAACAATTAACCCTGTCTGTACTGGCAGATTTCATTATCACTTTAATATAGATGACTAGGGGGGTTATTCACTAAGCTGCTGAAGGCACCTGAGTGAATAACCGAGCCGAAGTATGGTTGGCTAGTCACAGCAGCTCTGTATGGCTATTTTTAGCCCTACATCAGCTGTCTTCGGCTCACTTAAAACTTTCTTTTGATTAAGCTGAACAGCCTTAGTACGCAGGGCTGAACGGAAGGGAAGAATCCATGCACCTCAGACGATGCAACATCTGGATCCGCTGAGGCGAACGTTCAGCAATCATTCACTGCTGTTCACCCCTATTCTCATAGGGGCCGAACAGAGTGAATAGCCAAACCTCAGATGTAGCAGAAGAATTAAAAATGACATGTAAATATTTCAGGTCAGTGAGCTGTCATGGCATTAAAACAAATGGGCGGTGCAAGTCTTGTAATGTCACAGGACTAGCTCCGCCCATTTGTTTACATACAGTTCTGGAGCTGTGCAATCAGTCATTTAGCGGCAGCAGTTCGTCGGGAGTGGACGGGTGCGCGGGCGTCGGGACTTTTTTTTAAAATTTCGGCTAGTCGACGGGCATCGCTTAGCGTGATTGACGCTAGATTGCATCGTTGGACGACGTGATTAACCATAGATGCAGAGTTGGATGATTTTTTTTTTTGTTTAGCAATAAAGGAATTGTCAAAAACTGTTTGTGTTTTCTCTTTAAAGGATTTTTTCAAAAAAGTGTGGTGTGTTTATTTACTTTTGATTTCACCCTTTGGTGAATGAGTAAGGGTAACTACCCCTTACATACATTCACAAGGTGGGGGGGTGGCATCTGGGTGTACCGTTTAAAAAGGGGGTACCCAGATGCAGATGAGCCCCACTGCCCGCAGACCACTCACAACCACCGGGCCAGGGTTGTGGGGAAGAGGCCCTTGCCCACAGCATTGGGAGGGTGCCTTGTCCCCATGCCGATAAGGAACAGAAAAAATATTGCTTGTCACATTTTGTCCGGTCAGGAAACGGACTGGAAACGCAAAATGCGTCAAAAACGCACTGCACTGCAGCTAACATACTGACGGCCCCACTCCGGCAAAAACGCACTGCATCAGTAGCACCGCGTCTGCAGATCCGCACCTGATATCATGTGAACAGGCCCTGAGGGTCTCGTTGGGAATTTTAGGGGGACCCGATTTTTTTCGTTGGGCGTTTTTCATTGGGCGATTTTTGGGCGTTGGGGTCCCTCTTAAAATTCCTACATGACCTAAAGGGTCTGGCATGACCTTTGGGGGGAGCCCCAAGCATTTTTTTTTTATGTAGACAGGTCCCCCCTAAAATTTCTGACAGACCTAAAGGGTCTGGTATGAATTGGGAGGGGACCCTGCGCTGTCTTTTCTTATTATATTTTCCAACAATTTGCGGGGAGTTGGTCCGCTCCGGCTGTATCTTCGGCTGAGCCGAGCCAAAGCATATGCGTTCGGCTCAGCTGTGTGCTTTAGCTGCTGTACAAGTTATTGTAAATAGCCCATACAGCAGCCTTTCGGTTCTGCTGAACCGAAGGCTTCCTGCAGCCGAAGTGGGCCGCAGGATTAGCCAATCGTTCAACTACATCCTTCGGCTCTTTAGTGATCTACCGCCTAGGATCGTCTGTCCTAAAAAAGGGCTAAAGCCTCAAAGACCCTGTATGGTAATGAGCAGATGCTCAGTCTGTCCTAAGTCTATTAGGACAGTCAGCGTTTGCCGTTAATGAAATTGAAAGAGCATGCACAGGCCTGCTAAATAGAGATGCCTAAAAAGGTTTTTAAATTATTTTTAGATACTGTGTGGATAGGAACACAAACATATAGTAGGGTTTTCCCAATTTTTTCCTGTGGAAGCTCTAAAGTTAGAGCATATACTATCCTGTTATAACATTAGCATTGTAATAGGAATACATACTAGAGAGTTGTTTTTGATGATGTGATCAAAGCTTACTTACAAAAAATCCCTTTTCTATAGTGAGTGTTGCCTTCTGTCTGCCCATCACTTTTAACTTCCTGGATTCCCAGTGTGCTTTGCATTTTTTTCCCTGCTGCTTGATGTGATATAATCTCGATTTCTCAAGACTTGTGTCAGTGCAATGAGGAAGCGCAATCTATGGTCATTTTCAATAAGTACGTTTACAAACTTCTAAATGCTTATGGTTATTATGAGTGGAATAGAACTTATGGACATTCAATCTAAAAATATTTTTTGTTTTACCATAGATACCTTTTAAGCTAAATACTACAATGACTCAAAATGTACTATCTCTCAATTCAAATTGTGATCCAAAAAAAAAAAAAACATACATTGTACATACCTCGAAAAACACAATGACATATCTGCCTTGCCTGCTTGTTAAATTGAACAAAAACTGTTCTACCAAGAAAAACAAGTGTAAGCTCTCTCCTGGTGACAAGGAACTATTCATAGCACAAGTAATTAGCAAGGAGTCTCCATCAATGACAAAGAACTCAGACTCCACGTAGTCATTCAGTAAACTCACAAATCTGAAGAAAAAAAAAATAGGAGAACTAGTTATAAACATTGTAGCAATCCATTTGATTACATCCCATGTGAAGGCATTATACAAACGCATGTCAGAATATTTTAAACTTTCACATATGGAAAAGCTCCCCGTGATTCAGGTAGGTAAGGGCAGTTTGGGGGGTGCTGGTAAATGTGAACATATTTCATCTTACACACTATTTATTCTGCACAAAGCTGCACTATGCTTTTCATGAAATATTTCATTCCCTATTTTGTCAGCTGCAGGCTTTATTTATTTTTTCGATTTTTGTCTTACCTGTAAAATCCATTTCTTGCAGAACATCACGGGACACAGAGATTTAAATTCTTAACCTTCTGTTGCAATATTTTTATTAGAGTTTTACAGGGGTACAGTAAAATACAATACAATACAGATATTCTGACTCTGCTATGGGGACCATCTCATGGGGGTGAGTAATAAACATACAGAAGTCATCATATAGGATGGTTGTCAGGTGTGACTCACATTCCCACTCCTCATAGCTTCCCAACCTCTGGGTACCTGGTCGGTTAAGGCTAACTGGATGTCAGTGCCTAAGGGATGACGTAGCCAGAGGTGTTATGGAGAGTCAGGATAAGGCAATCAACGAAGACGGGAAAGGGGAAGACAGGGTGGGGTAGATCAGGGGGGGTTGGGGGAGGGGAAGTATCAACATCAGCATCAGTGTTCATTTTTGATCCAACGGGTGACTCCCCGCTGGACCCCCGAACAGTTCTCATCCCACTGGACCATTTCTCCCTATTCCCATTATCCCTCCCGGTCCCACATCCTTGTGCGTGGTAAAATTCTTAACCTTCAAGTGATTGGGCACTGGAAGATCAATCAAAGCTGCAAAAAACAGCCCTGCATAACCCCTCCCACTCCCAGCCTGCCTCAATTATGTAGTTAACAGTACAAAGTGGATCACAGAAAACAGAGAGAAGGGCTCTGCGCCCTGTGACATACTTCAAGAAATGGTTTTGATTTTGCATCACAAGACACAGGGAGTTAAATTCTTTAGCCACTGGGACATTCAAAAGCATTCTAACAGGTGGATGGGCAACACAGCAAATAACATGAAACAGGCCCAAGAAAAATAACCTGGGCACTAGGAGGTCCATATTAAGCATCCCCCATCTGTGACAAAAGACTCAAAACACTTAATTAATGACTGAGGTAATCAATCTGCCAATTCTTTATGCCTGCAGTGTGCATGGTAAGCAGGCCTGGAACGAGCCAAAATCAGGTCCCCTTCTCTTTGAGCCGTTTCCTCCCTGATGTTTGATTTAAGCCATGGTTGATGTCACTGTATCAAGGTCGAATGGCCCTGCAACTGGGCAGTCCAGCGTTGGAGAAAAACTAATTGCTCCTGAGCTCCAAAGATATTGTTTGGGATGGGAACTGTCAGGAGGAAGGGTTTTCATAACTCCAGCCCCTTGTTCGATATCCACCACACAAAGGCAAGCATTGTCTTGTTGGACAGTTGGATGGGGAGATCCGACAGATCCGGACTGAACCTGTTTGTCCCATGCAGCCAAGATGTTCAGCTATACTGGCCTGGAGTAATAATGAGCATAAGGAACTTCCTCAAAAAGGAGTCTACCACCATATCCAGAATCTTCATGAAAAAGGTCAGACGGCTCCTGGACCGTAAGGTTTCCTGGGGAAGTGTTTTGGACTTGGTTCCAAATTTAGATCGGATCAAAAGTTCCGTACTTATATCTGCCGCCTGGCCTGATTCAATAGAGTATACTCTCGGAGATAAAAATGAATTCACACCAACTCAGTCAGTGTAAAAATCACTTCTGCTTTATTGTTCTCCTTTTCAGGGTTTTTATTTAACAGGTGAACGTGTATATTTGAGCGTAGCATTGCAGAAAAGTATTTTAGTTTATATATTCTAGCTCATCATTGGTTAGATCCATTTATGCATAACTTCCTGCCAAGATGTTTATAGATGTTTATATCTTTCGTCTTGGGTGCGTTGTCTGAAGAGGAGGCGCCAACTTGGTTCCTATTTCTACTGCGTACTTCGGATCTGGGGGGGTGCTTAGCACCAATTTCTGAGCAAGGTTTTGAGGAAGGCAAACGAGCAAAAAGCAAATTAACATATATATTACAATTGATCTATTGAAATAGGCATTTTGTCATAATCATGCTTAACCACATCCATTACAGAAGAGTCACTGGACAGGGCCATGTCCAAGATTGATTTCTGGAGGTTTAGGATCCATCCTAAGCTCTGTAGAGTCTATATTGTCCGCTGAATGTTGGGCAATAGGGCTTGTGCGGACTGCTTCCTGAGGTCATACAAATACCCCACTAAGGGGATCCCCTGGGACTGGAGCAGGGATAAGACAGGGGCCAGCACCTTGGTGAAAACCCATGGTGTCATGCACAAATCTAAGGGAACAGCAACAAATTGGAAATGCTGGGTGCCCACAGCAAATTGCATGTAGGGATGGTTGGCAGTTGAGTATCTTCAGATCCAGGATTCGGAAACCCCTCCCTTGATCTTGGAGACAGCAAACAGGTTAAAATAAAAAGAAAAAACCGGGAACATTCATGCCTCTAGAATGTGAACTACTGTATAACCCTTTAACAGAGAAGCTGACTCACGGCAGTGAAGAGATCTGTATGCCTTTGAGGAGACTTGGGTAGATTGGATAACAGAAACTGAGGAGGCAGAGAGCAAAACTCCAGTTTGTAGCCTTTGGATGACACCCAAAACCCAGGCATTTGGAATGTCACATGCCCAGAGGGCTAAGGCGGCTGATAGTCTTCCTCACACTTGTAAAAGTGCGGGACCTCCTTCACTCTGAAGAGGGCTTGTTCCTGCACTTAATGTGCTTGGAGGACCAGGCCTATGAAGGATGTAGTAAACTTTTCAACAGGATAAGTAGCTACCAGAGCCTTAGCCTTCTATTGCGATGCAAGTATTCAAGGAGTCACCAAATAGAGCATGCGCTGTAGGCACTTTCTTTCATGGAAGTTTCACATACATGCATTTGAATCAAATGATCCCTGCATGTGAACAGAGAGGTGCCTCATCCTAAAGCTTTGGGAGGAGATTATCTTCCAGGTCATTCAAGCAAAAATGTAAGTCCACAGGAAAGAGTTCTAACTGCTTAAGAACGTCTGGGTGCATCAAGATAGACCCAGGGTTACTGGCCATAGTTTTGAACAATACAGATAAGTAGGGCTTGCAAGGGTATGTCAGCCATCATGATGTCAGCTGTTGCCTCGGGAATCTCCTGGCCAGCAGCTAAATGGGGCCAGGGATATGTCACTGGTTGCAAATATGCCGTTGGCTGCATTGCTGGCAGCTTCTTAGCAACCAATAACTCGATGCTTCTCCGCACTGCAAATGGCAGTGCATGAGCCACATTCGGTTACCGGTTTCCAACAAGCACTGACATTGGTCATGCAGATGTAGGAAGACATTATAAAGGGTAGACACTATTTATGAATTCTGCTGCCTGTGTGGGAGCAGGATTGCTCTATGATTACTGGCAGGTGGAGGACCTAGGACTACAGAAGTTTGAGTTTTAATTTTGAACTTTAGTAGTGGTGCAGCATCAACATTTTCTTTTATGGAGGGCATCGGGGAAAAGGAGTGCCTACATTTTAAACAGACCAATTATGAATATTGTGATATGATATAGGCGGTTCCCTATAGGGTGTAGCATGTTTTATCCATTTATATTTGAGAAACTGACCAGTAGTTTGCTGTGGCTGTCCCTGTTATAATGCAAAGCTGCCCTGCCACTGGACAATTTCTATCATTCTGTCATCAAAATGTACTGGAGAAAAAGAGTACAGGCAGATGTTTTATTACATGAACAAAGAGTCTGAAGATCACACAGCAGTGTAAAATATGCCAGTAGCAGGATATTTTCAAACAGCATGACTAGGCCTAAATATAATAGACAAAGAACATACGTGGTGGTGGTGGGGGATAGGATACAGCAGTGGAAAATTGGCCAACAGCAGGCCAGCTGAATTCTGGAGAAAATAGGCCAAACTGTACTACAGACAAAAAGCATAAGCAGGTGTTTTACTACAAGAATTTAGACACCACACATAATTTTATTAGGGATAGTAGGGCTAAGTGGTGTATGCCTGTGAATGTGAGTAATGGTGCAGTGAATGTGAATAATATAATGTGAGGTGATATAGGTGCACAATGTTCTTGCACTTTTTTGTTTTAAAACAAAGTAGTGGCATGCAAATAACAGGCAGCTCCAAGAAGAGATGACCAGAAACAAGTAAAAGTTTAGAAAAACACAAAAGAAATGAAAACCTCAACAAACCACTTCTGAAACAAAAGCCCAATTTTTTAAAGGGAAAGTCCTGAAACTAAAATAAGCCCGTTTTTTTTAAAGGGAAGCCTGGCAGCAAAAAAAAAAAAAAAAAAAAAT